AGTCCCTTGATATTTTTGTCGCTTGCTGAGGTGTATAAAGTTTTTTGATTCGTAACAGTGTTCCAAGCTTTTGAGAAGCAGCCTTTGCAATTCCAGCGACATGATTGTGCTAAGACATATTGGTGTCCCTTTCAACCCCCAAGAAACTTATCGAAGCAGAAAGCGAAATTGTCTAACCTGACATTATTATATTCGGTTCGGAGACATTAATCTTCTTGGAGAAAACCGATGCCTGAGTTTTTGTGGAATTGAACCTGGTTACTTGCACTCCAATTCGAAATCACATCTAGATCCTCATTAGGATATGCAATCTCTTGCTGCCGCTGAAGATGTGCCTCCGTAGCCGATGTCCTGGAATCCAGATGGAATGTCGAGACAAGGGTGCTGTCGTCAGCAAAACAATATATTGGATTCTTGTTTGTTCCAATGAGTCGTTGATATACAATAACAAGAGGGTTGGAGGCAATATGGATCCCTGAAGAATACCAGCGTTGATAGAATAGTTTGTTGTAAAACATATCAGTTGATTCTTCACTATTTAGGTTATGAAACAAATTATTCCAATCAATTTTAGATAACTCTGATTTTAGTAGTTCATAATCAACTTTACAAAAATAGTACAGGTTATGTTTGTTGTTATTATAGGTTAATAAGTATTTATGTATATTGACAGAGAATTTCAATTATGATTTTTGTCTTCTGGAGTCAAGGGAGAGGTGCTCAAGTGCACATTTTGTATACTGAATGTGTTATTGAGTATCAGATCAATTGTGTTTTCCAGAAGAATTAGTGAAGTAATTGTATTGCGATAGCTTGTTGAAAGAGAGTGTCTATAAATAAGCTCGGAAACTGATGAAAAAGTTATGAGGTTACGGTCCAGCAACCATTTTATATTTGGAGAATTGAAGTCCTCGCAGATCACAAAATTGTCATCTTCAGCATCCGAGTTCCAGGAATCTTGAGCGTAGCTGTTCTGTTGACGGCTATCAGGACTCCACCGCCGGTAGATTTGTTTCACGATTCGACCAGTCATTTTTTCCAGCGAAGACGCTCCCGTTTCACACCTAAACATATTTATAATTTTTGGATTCGAATATATATTAAGCTTTTTTAAGAATGATTTCAGATGTTCATTTACAAAGAGGCTTCTAGATATGTTATCAATGACGAGACCCGGTTGACTCTTGTCAAGGCAGCTCAGTCTTTTTGTCTTGGCCGCTGCTAAGATTTCATCCTGCTTCACCTTGGATTGGAATTTAACGATGATGGATTTGGGTTTCTCAGATTGAGTAGAGGAAGCTACCTTAACGGTTGTGTTGGCATCGGGGAACGAAATCGCACACTGGATGTGTTGTCCAATATGATCTAGTATTCAAAGAATTTTTTTTATTTGATTTCTCAGGCACACCCTGTATTTCAATATTACTAAGGCGTGCTTGGTGTTCAATATTCTAGAGTCTGGTCGTCAATTGTCCAACCATCACCTTCAGATCTGCATTCTCCTTCGACAACTTCTCTAATAGCAATATCTGTTACTACAAAAATTTACTGATTCTGAAATGTTATCGTATTTAGTATTGAATGTCTTCATCTCTGATTGAATTTGTTTAAGAATGTTCATCGAACTGATAGAACTTTCATCTTCTGGTTCCTTTTCGGTAGCTAACAGAGAAGTCCGTTTCTGTGCCTGCAGTCAGCACAGTTCCGCAGAGCGCCAGGCATAATGAGTTGTCCAACGTCCTCTTTACTCAGGTCGACACATTTTCCGTGGAAGTACTTTTCGCAAGAACCACAGCATGGCAAACCTGGGGTCTTGCTGGTTATTGCTGACGCACATTTTGAGCAGATTGGCATCGTTCCTTTTTACCAGGTTGACCGCAGAGTAGCAAAAAACTTCAACTTTTTTGCCCCTGAATGAGTCTATTGTTTTTTACTGTTGAATTGCACCGTGTAAATCAACAAATTCACTTTATACACTCAGATGCTTGAGACTGATGACTAATGTACTACGGAATTCAATTATAGACGAATAAACTTTGAATAACGAGAAAAAATGACCTTTTTACGGGAGGGTTTACCCACAGATTGCAGGAAAAACCGAAGAGTTGAACAGGCACGTGTTTACCTCTGAATTTTCCATTTAATTTTCCGAGCCGCAAGGCCGGAATTTCATGTTTCAGATTCTGAAAGCAATTGAACGGTACTGTACACGGAGGTGTTAATTCGCCAGACGTCAGCCTCTTCTGTAAGAAAACTTTGAACCTCTGCATCCAAACAAGCTACTTCTTGTGGCTGCAGGGCCTTATGTGCTTTGATGAACTCCAATGGTGGCATGATGCGGGTCTCCTCTCCAGCTGTGCCAACAGGTGGTAGAACTGTCACTTACACCACTTCATCAGAGTGGTGAGGGGAGATATATCCCTGTCGCCGAAGATAAGATACGTAATACCTAAGATTTTGGGTAAATAAGACGTCATGTTCCGGATGTGTTTATCACCACAGAGCATGCATGCATTCCCGCTATATAACCTTTTCGCGCGATCTTACTTATCTCCCTAGCTCATGCATCCATTCAAAGCGTCCGTTGTCATTGATAGGATTGAGGGATGTCATCGTAACTAGCGTTAATACGAGGTTCAGCTAACGAATCTGCGCGCTTAGAGGGCGCCCTAGAGGGGTGTGGAAAAAAAACGAGTAGTGCGTTGGGTATCTCTATTCACGTACCAGAACACGCTTTCGTCACTATTATAGTATTTGTGAAGTAGCGGTTTGAAAAGGACGTGTTTTTTCTCGTGCCAAAAACCATTTGCAACGGAAAACAGGAGCAAAGTATCACTCGCAAATTTCTCGTTAAAATAAAAAAAAAACCTCCGACTGAGTGCTATAAATTGTTGCAAGAGGCCTATGGAGACAATTCTCTATCTCGAGCGCGTGTTTTAGGTGGTGTAAGCGCTTTGGTGAAGGCCGAGAGGTCAAGGATGTCTAAATCAACATTCAGGGCAATGTTGATCGTTTTTTTTTCGACATTAACAGTTTCGTGATGACTGAATGGGTTCCAGAGGGTTGAACATACTATTTGTCAGTTTTGGCAACACTGCGAAAAAGAGTTCGTAATAAACGGCCCGAGTTGAAAAACAAACAACGGCAGAGCTCCTTAAGGCTCCAAAAAAGATTTTCAACACCGCTTCGATCAATGAGAAAAACGTATGAAAAGGTATAGTATTTCCAATACCAATTGGAACAGCAAAAAATAATATGCCGACATAGGCGTCGGCATAATATTTTTCAGTGGTAGTTTTTCAGTTACTTATTCTTACAATCATAGCAATTGATCACCACATGAAAAAGTTATCTCAACTGAATTTTTCCACCACGGGTAATTATGAAAAACTTGGAAATTTAAGGTAGTTGATTTCCGAGTCGAAAACTCTAAAATACAAAGAAAACACAAATAATCACACCGAATCAAACATATATTTACAAAATAATAGAGGCCAACAAAATTGCTAGAAAAATCAAAATTTTTCTTCGCTATATTCGGATAAGGTGGAATCATCATCGAGTTGAATAACGATGGGATTTATGGAACTTTGCACATAATATTTGTTCTCTTCTTTTATAACGTGGGCCACACAGTTCTTCCACACATCACTATTACCTACTTCATTCACCACTCGCCTCATATTGTCAAGCACTACAACATTCAAAGTCGGTGACTGATTACATTTCCGCAAGCTTTCTTTCATTGTGGCCCAAACCATTTCGATTGGATCGAACACACAATAGTATGGAGGCAAACGTGAGAGAATATGACCACGTGTTTCAGATATCGAATCAATAATATACTCTTTTTTGAAATTACGTTGTTTTATGGTCGCCAGTAATACCTTTTTCGTTGGAATCTTTTCGGGTATTTCCATGTCATGTTTTCGCATGAAATCAACAATATCTGCTTTTTTTGTGTTATTGTATGGTATTGTAGTCGATAACCGAGAATGATACGAAGCGTTATCCATAACAATAACCGAGTTTGGTTATTTGAGAGAAGCTGCTCACTGAATCAGGTTTCGAATAAAGTCGCAGTCATATCTTCGTGGTAATCAGGAGACGAATCTTTTAAATTTTTGGCCGACAGAAGGAAAGCGTTAGGTAGGAAACCACTTTTATTCCCGGCATGCAAAATTTTTCGTTTTCCCCTTGAAGAAGGTGTGTTCAAAGTACAATACTTGGTTTCGTCTACCCAGCCATATTTGACAACATCATGGGTGTCAAACCAAGTTTCGTCGAGGTAGATTATATGTCTGCTGGATTCTCGGTAGCTTTTCATTCGCCTCAAATATTCTTGTCGGAGTTGAACAATGCGTGTCGATTCCATTATGACCATCCATTTGTTCAATTTTTTATATTTGAAACCACAAGACAATAAGACACTTCGTAGAGTTTCTGAAGATTTGTAATTGTAATCGTGATAGTCGAGTAATTCATACCAAATTATTTCCAAGGTTGGTACTTCATTTTTTTGGTATATACCATAAATTGTTCGTCGAATGACATCTTTTGTAGCACCATCAACGTTTGCGAATTTTTTATTCCTTTGTTTTCGTTTCATTGCATGGTCAATGACATCCCCTATTTCAATAACTCGAAGAACTGTCGAACGAGATAGTTTCGTTAACTCGCATATTCTATTCACAATAGCATTCTGTGAAGAGTGACAGTTTTCCTTCTTCAAGCATTAATGAATATTTAAAATTACTCGCTGAATTTGAACATGTAAGTCCTTATTTTCAAATTCCGGATCCCTGTCGATTGACACAGATTCCTCACATGTAATGTTATCATAGTGATTACATTCAATCTGTCGATATTTAATCATCGATTTTTTTGTGCACCTTATCAAAATCGATAACGAGGGAGCGGATAATCGGTAATCACAGGAAATGAGGATCAGTTCATTCATGTGTGTGATTCATTGCTTCATTGAGGTGAGTCTGGAATTCATGTTTTATCTTATTCACATGTGAGTTATAGATAGTGCAGTAAAACTTTCAGAATCAAATTTAAGCAGAGGCGCAGAAATTATTTTAATAATCAGAGTCGAATGAAAACATACGTTTTCACTTACGAAGTAGAATAGAAACTTCTGGTAAGACATAAATCTTTTGGAAGCACTTCCAACACACTACACCTAGGAGACAGTTCATTCGTTCAGTATATACGTTTGTATATTTCTTTCCGGTACAAACATCGCCAGATCTGGTGATTGAAATTGTTGGGAAAGAACTCAGATAGCATAATGATGATATCAGGACCGAAAAAAACTTCAAAGAATCAGGAAGATGTTGATGGGTGTCCCAATCGTGACACTAAGTAGAAAATCTGTTTCTGTTTAAAATCTGTTTTTCCGTTACCCAGCTAAGCATATAAAAAAACTAGTCATTTAATATCTTTCCAAGTGAAAATCCTAACCAAATGAAAAACAGGATTTTCTATTTTCATTCATCAAATTTTCCCTATTTTGTTAAAATATATAATTGATGTCATAATACTGTAAAAAAATTGTGTGTGATGGAGAAATTGAAATCAAATACGAGTTCAGTGCACAAGAATACATGAGATTCACGTAAATCAGCTCTGAATGTTTCCACTATTTTTTTGTTTGCTTCTGTAATTGAATAATTGTGGGAGGCCTTGCTGAAATTATAACATCTCCTCTTTCGAATGTCAAGATTACACCGGCTTGCTGCAATGAGAATCTTGGCCAGAAAAATGAGGGGTATGGCTCATTTCATCTGCTCAATGCACATGATTGTCGGATCCAATGATCGCTTATGTAACTGAAATTAGGTATGGTGCCATCCATTCCTACTGCGCCGAAAGGAAGCAAAGACCAAAAAAAAAGAGAAGAAGAAGAAGACATTCCTAATTTTCAGAGAAGTCATACCCATTACAAAGTGCCATACCTTGACTTTCAATCCAAAACAGATTTTACATAATCAAGTTTAATTCAAGTTTGAATTTTGTGCCCTTTTTATCACTGAATCGTACTCAATATTCCTGATAATAACTTATCATCAAACTCATCTCTGAACTCTGTTACCTCTCATTTCACTACACATAAAGTCTTTCTTCCGATTGAAATATACCATATCATTAATCAGACAAAACGTACTGAATTACTTAAGTCTGCTTAAATGATGTTATACTTATAATCGCATATTTCCCGTGACATCCAAACTAACGTCAAATACGCAGTTTCGAAGTCTCATTCTGATATTTCAGATAACAAGCACTATCAAAGTGTATGAAAAATGGACCAACTTTAGCTCTGACTGAATGACCCTCTCAAACTTTTTCTGCATTTGGCATACTCTGCTTCGCATTTATCAGTTTTATTTTGTTACATCGTTTATTGAACCATCCTTTGTCATTTATCATGTCTTCCTAATGTTTACAATTACATATCGATATCATGACCACTGACTGATGTGTAGGCTAAAAATAATAAAAACACTTTTTTTGAATTGAATGGCTTATATTTTTAGGAGTGATTAATTTTTGGGTTTTGTGTCTGAAAGTTACTTTTTTGTATGATCTACACATCCATATATAGAGTTACTTATTTTCAAATTGATTACTTCCTTCCTTTCTTTGGAAGATTCCCTCATCCCTTTTTTTTGTATCAAGATGGAATAGTAGAAAGCCAAAAACTTTCTTTCCCAAAAAATAAAAACACATTCAATACTAACAGCTGTTTCGAGACACTGTGTCACCTTCTGATTGAGCTATAACTCTCTGTGTCGAAACAGCAGTTAACATCAAATGTTAGTGTTGTCAAATTAACTAAAAGAACAATTTGTTTAGGCCAGTCTCGACTCGCTACAATGTAGGTTAATGGGCAGACACCTATCAGAAATGGCCTGGAAGGCAATGAAGCTGCTGATTCCCTTGCAAAGGGAGGTGTTGCAAGCAGCTTCATCGGACCAGAACCAGTCATTGGCATCGCTTTAGGCTTTGCCAAACAAATAATGAACACCTAGGTGGCAAGAAGATTTATGGACTTCTGGCAGAATCTTCCAGGACTGGCTCACTCCAAGGCGTTTATTCACCCTTCGAAACTTGATTCCAAACAGTTTTTGAACTACAGTAGGGATGAACTACGATGTCTAACAGGCCTTCTTACAGGTCACTGTTATTTGAATCATCATATTATGCAGAGACTCGGACTGTCGGAAGACGGTGTGTGCCGCCTTTGTTTTGAAAATGATGAAACATCAGAGCACTTATTTTGTACCTACCCCGCTGAAAGACCACTCACCATGTCGTTAAGAAGCTGGGTTTATTTGGTCGCGTGTGAATAGGTGTGAGCTACAATAAACCCTTGCAGGTAGCGGTGGAGGGTCGAATACACCCACTGACTTTGGACCTAACCCAACCTATTAGAAAAAAACTATTCCCCTGGCTAATACCTCGATGGGTGTTGGATTATATCCGACTTGTATCAGTGCAGAAATCTTCACATTGTCCATACAACTGCTGGAATCGAGTTTCAATTATAGAAACGGGCACACTTGCAGACCGGTTTTGGGCTATTTGGCCTCAAGTCAGTGCAAGGTATTGGCCGTCATCATCCTAAAGCTGATGATATTCGATAATTGAAAATCGAATGGCTTTCAGAGCATAAGTCATCTGACCAAGCTGAAGCGAACGACAAACAACAGTGTTGTCATCGCTCCATCTGGTGAACATGGACTAACCAACTGCATATCCAAAATTCGCCCAATTCCTCGTATAAGGAAAGAAAGCTCCACGTATATTCAGTGGGAATATTTGAAGTGTGCCCGTTCCTATAACTGAAAGTCGACTCCAGCAGTTGTATCGCCAACAGTATATACAGGAAATACTTATGTGAAGCTTCCTGCATTGATTCATGGTATTAGCTAGGGAAATAGTTGCTTTCCGATAGGTGTCAGTACATTAACCTACAGTGTAGGTAAGTCGAGACTGACCTGGGCAAATTGTTCTTTTAGTTATTTTGATTTACTGTCAGTTTTCAAATATGCCTACTGAATATATGTGTTAGTGTTCCGTGAATTGTGAAGTATTATTTTCACACTACCCACTCAATTAAAATGAATTCACACCTATTAGAAGCCATTTCCATCGCCAGGTCTGTTTCTTTGTTTTTTTTAATGTAATGAACTTAATTGTCTAATTTTTTATGCAGTGATTCTAGATATTTTTCCAAGCCTTTCGACTTTATTCAGCCGTTATTTCAGGTGAAGTAGAGGTGGTAACTAGAAGGGAGTTGAGGAATATTGGCTTAGGTATTCAAGGTGAGACTGCCCAGGAGCTATCATCATTTGAACTGGTTCTTCTAGCTTTCAAACATCGAGATCTGATAGAGTTCCAATAGGTCATCTCAGATTTCCAACTGTCTCAATCCTTCAGACTCATGAGTAAGTAACTCAGTAGGTGATATTATTGAATAATTTTTTATTCGTTTTGTGTAATTCAATTGCCAAGAATATCTTTAGTTGCTACTCAATCGTTGGGAATAACCAGGAACATGAAAAAAAATATCAAAAGCAGAGAAAAATTTTACTATAATCGAAGTGAGTGATGCCATGAACGCGGGCATCAAAGAGAAGGAACAGCAGCTAAAAGCTTAAATAACTGAAATAAAAGAGTGGGGGGAGTGTTTATTGGCTAAACTTGCAGACTATTGCAAAAAAAGTGGATAAATAATACCAATGTTTTGATACGCTTCCGGGTTTAGTCACGCTACAACTGCAACTGCGGCAGTCATTTTCAGGGACGTGGTTGAAGTACTCTTCTAGACGTGCCAACTGAAAGCATTGACGCCAGCATTGAAATCCATCATTCCTGTAAATACACCAAACCTCCGCGATTGGGCAGATAGGGGATTCGTCAATGAACCGACACCGATAATGCGTGGCTTCGAACGGTGTTCACTTTCATACATATTCTCTATATCAGAGTGGGAAAATTTCAACTAACTCCACTTCAACAAAATAATCATTTACCAATAAATATTCATGTTTAGGGTTAGGAAACAATTCTTCCAGTGAAAAATAATAGAATTCCCAGTATAGTTTCTGAAAAATTTCATATAGAAATCATTTTTGCTTCATTCAATATTACTTTTTAACAAACGAATAATAATGAACTGAACTATCATTGATGATTTATGATCTTAAGGGTATCCCTACCACTATATAGACAACGTCCTTTCATTTTCAAAACAAGCTTCACCAAATACTTATTGGAATCTTTCATAGAAACAACCTTCTATCGGCTGTCCATCCATATCTTCTAGCGCTCAAGTTGAAACTGTACTTTCCACGTTCAACAACCAAAAGTTCAGTCGTAAAATTTGCTAGGTTGACTATTATCGAATACGCTTTCAAACTCACTGATTCGAATCATAAAACCGACATTGAATTGACCTTTTTTACATTTTGGATCCTGCGTTAATCGCTAAATTCGTAGACTGTTCTCCCTCTGCAGGCTTCATGCCGATGTTATAATGGATTATGTTGTTATATTGATTGGAAATTGTGTGGAAAATATACAACCACTTGTAAAAATCCTAAACTGAAAACTCTATGAAGAATTATGACATTATAACAGACTCTCTTAGTTTAACACGAACCTTGACTTGCGCAGCAGAATGGACTAAAAAACACTATAGTGCTTTCAAAACGCATAAAAAACGGTAAGGCTAATTGCACACATACTGATTTTGGACGGCCAGTATAAAATCGGCCGATATTTTATTGGTAGCGGGTGCTTGCAAACTCACCGGATTTTTACCGGTCACCGTAATTAGCTTTTTCGCGCGCGTGATTTCATGCCGCTTACTCATTTTCGGCCGGTTCGCGCCGCTGCAAAAATAGGCTTCTAATTTTATTTTTTGTAAATTTATTTACAGCGCTGATTGTTAACCGATTTTCATGAACTTTTTTTTTTCAGCTCCCCGACTATTATGCCCCTCTGTCAAAAGATGGTTCGCAAATGTGGAACTGGTCGTTACATTAGAGAAACGAATGCCGCGGTTCGATGAGGGATACAAAGTAGGTTCAGAGCTTTAGTGATAAAGACAGTGCGATTATTAATGTTTATTGGAACTCGTGAACATAAATACACTTTTCAATAGATGGTTACTACCAATATAATATGTGGTTGCCACTATATAAACTAAAAAACTAACATGCGTTCTCCTAACTAACATGTCCTACTCAGTCAAGAGCTAACCGAGGACTACCCGGTGTCTGCCCGTTCGCTTACCTCTCGCACTCTTCACCCTTTTCCCATCGTCCACATTGGTGCCTTATAGTCCGGAGCACGGTATAGTCTAGTGCCGCACAACCCGAACCACCACACTACTCACATGTTCTTTCATTCTTTGGGAAGAGGTTCACCCCGTTTGCCCCGAGTTTTGGGAAAAAAACACAACTTGTATACTCCTAATCTTTTCGATACTGGAGTTTTGTCTTCATTGCCTTCAATAAAATTGCTTGAATCTTTATTATTCCGGTAAGCTACGTTCACATCTTTCCTTTCCTTTTGTGAACGGTAAAACTGGAATATGTTACAAATCTTCATCAAGAATGAACCATTTCCATTCAATATCTATTTGATGTTTGTTTGAAGGTGATTGAAAATGTTTCATGGTGAATTTCATCAGTTCGGACTTCCATTGTTTAATATTATATAAAATTATTTGAAATCCCTTAAAGAACCAATACACATTGATAATTGAAAAGACTAGCTGAAAATAACAATAATATCAAACAATAAACCTTGAAATGAAATTACAGTGGAATAAAATACAAGTACAGGTTCAAACTACCCAACGAAAATGAGTAAAAAATCGAGTAAAATGGTTTCATCGCGAAGAAATACATAAATGATGCAGATAATGTACTTGAAGCTTATAAAATCACGAAATATTTATTGATTTTGGGTTGGAAGTTATTCACATAGCACCAGTTGATAATTTCAGTTTTATTGTTCTGTCACCTTGATCAATCTTCATTATTTTCAATTACATCATGATTCATTAGATCATCAGCAAATAGAAATAATTTCGAGGTATGGGTCCACGTTTGATGGTTTACTTCAGAGGTAGATCAGTAGAAATGTAACCTTCACTTATATTAGCCAGCCTGTGATCGAAATGCGAGACTCGAACAAATGAAGAGAACTAGGAAGAAACCATATCTATTTAGTTTATTGGTGAGTATTTGCGAATCAATTGGATCAAATATATTCTGCGTATACCTAGATAAGTATAACAATAATATCGTCTTCATTATCTTCAAATACATTTCAAGCAAACTAATCAGATACAATTTAATTGTTATATGAAGAGAACAGGTGAAGTTCAATTTCCATGATGAAAAGTCATCATTCAATTGCTCTCCCACTTAACCTAAAAAATGTCGCCTAGTATGCAAAGGAATTGACAAAAAAAGAAAATTATCTTAAAATAATATGACTTTAGTATATGTGCATAGTACTTTCCGGTTGTTAGTGGTGTCGCTAAAACATGTACTATGAAATGACAGTTGACACTGACGGAGGAACGGGGTTGGTGGTTCTGTTTGGTGAAACTAGACACGTTGTACATGAAAATGAAAAACTGTAAAATATAAGGTTAATCCTGTATATCATTGTGAATAATTATGTAAATGAAGCCCGTAAATAGAATTCATAGTGTGGTAAATGATAACACATGGCGCAGTCTGAAAAAGAGGAACTGAAGCTCTAAAAATGGATTTGAAACCGCCATATTTCAAGGTCGGAGATTCAAAAGCCGCCAACTTATGATCGAAGTTCAAACAATTTTTTGAGGTATTCCTGGTGGCTGCTGGATTAACGGAAGCTGATGACAAGAGAAAGTGCAATTTATTACTACACTGCATGGGACAAGAAGGCCTAGATGTGTACAACACTTTTGAGTTGAAACCAAATGAAATTGATAAATTTGAAGTGCTGGTTATCAAGTTCAATGATTATTTTGTGCCCAAAGTCAATGTAACATATGAACGACACAAATTATTTATGAGAAATCAAAAAACTGGAGAAGGGTTTGACAACTATGTTACAGAGTTAAAATCTCTTGCAAGTTCATGTGATTTTGGAAAATTGAAAGATACACTCGTAAGAGATCGTATTATATGTAGCATAGAACACATTAAATTAGGAGAAAAGCCATTAACAGAGCCTAATTTAACACTAGAGCCTATTTTAAGCCTTATTTAACATAAATAAATGTGTCGATATTTGTCGAGCTACTTTAGCAACAGAGAGCCACATTAAGGACATATCAAGCGCAGCAATAGCTATAAATAAAATAAATAAGCACAGAAAAACCACAGAGGAAAGAAGCAAGAAGATACACATTCAAACACAGAGAATACCATAAAGGACTGTACGAGATGTGGGTATACACATAAAGTGAATAAATGTCCAGCGTACCAGCAGACCTGCAAGAAGTGTAATAAACTGAATCACTTTGCTAAAATGTGTGGACAGAAACAAGTGAAAGAAGTTACAGCGGAGAACAAGAAAGAAGAACTAGAAGATGAAGAGAAAGACTCATTGTTCAGTACATAGTAATAAAACAGAAGACTGGGTAGAGGTAGTACACGTTTGTAAAATGCCAAAGGTATTTGTAGAATTTAGGTTAGATACAGGAGCTCAAGTAAGCATTATACCAAAGTGTGATTTTGAACAAATTCCTTATGTTGAACTACAAAAAACCAACACTAAATTCAATAACTACAATGACAGCAGCATAAACCAGCTGGGAGGGTGCACATTACACTGTATTCTTCCAAACAAAAATGAATTTGACCTAGAGTTTATTGTAGTAGACACTGTTAATCAAAGTCCAGTCATTTTAGGACTAGAATACTGTAAATGTTAGGGTTGATCAAAAGAATTATTAATATTTCAGCATGTAATGTTTAAGCTCAATATGAAGGTGTGTTTACAGGTACAGGGTGTTCAAACCAAAAACATAAAATTATTTTGAAAGAAAATTCAGTGCCAGTAGTCTTCAATGCTCGCAAGATTCCTATATCTATTGAAGAGGAAGTAAAATGTGAGTTAGATAGGTTGGAACATTTAAAAGTAATTGAAAATGTCACAGAGCCCACTGACTGGGTACATCCATTGGTAACAGTAAGAAAGACCAATGGAAACAAAATTAGACTGTGTCTTGATCCAGTAAATCTAAATCGAGTAATTGAAAGGGAATATTATCAAATACTCACAATTGAAGAAATCCTAGCTGAATTTTTAGAAGCAAAGGTTTCTAGCTTATTAGATGCAAACCAAGGATTCTACAAAATAAAATTGGATGAATCCAGCAAACGGTTATGCACTTTTGCAACACATTTTGGGAGATACATGTTCTCCAGGCTCCCGTTTGGGATTTCACCTGCACTGGAAGTGTTCCAAAAGCAATTTAAACAAATTTTTGAAGGGCTCGAAGGTCAAATATTATACATAGATGACTTGTTAGTTTTTGGAAGAAATCAAGAACATGATAAAAATTTAGTTGCTGTTGTGAACAGAGCCAGACAAGAGGGAATTAAATTCAATAAAAGTATATGTACATTTAATGTAACTGAAATAAAGTTTGTGGGTCATGTTATAAGCAGTATGGGGGTAAAAGTTGACAATGATAAAATAAAAAGTATAAATGAAATGCCATTGCCTAAGAACAAAAAGGAACTTGAGCAGATATTGGGCATGATCACTTATGTCTCAAAATTTGTACCTAATTTATCTGAATCTGAGACAGTTGTTGAATAGAAACGCAGTTTTTCTGTGGGGAGAAAATCATACTGAAGCCCTAAATGAATCAAAACAAGTGTTATCGTCAACTCCTGTGTTACAGTATTATAACGTAAATAAACCAGTCATATTGTCAGTCGACTTCTCAAAAAATGGTTTAGGTGCAGTTCTGCTGCAAGACAATTTACCGGTGATTTATGCCTCCAGGGTACTGACAGAAACAGAGAAGAATTACGCCATATCAAAAATCATCAGAGGCCAAACTTTCTTTAGAACAGTCCAAGGAACAGTCCCTTGATTTTTTTGTCGCTTGCTGAGGTGTATAAAGTTTTTTGATTCGTAACAGTGTTCCGAGCTTTTGAGAAGCAGCCTTTGCAATTCCAGCGACATGATTGTGCTAAGACATATTAGTGTCCCTTTCAACCCCCAAGAAACTTATCGAAGCAGAAAGCGAAATTGTCTAACCTGACATTATTATATTCGGTTCGGAGACATTCATCTTCTTGGAGAAAACCGATGCCTGAGTTTTTGTGGAATTGAACCTGGTTACTTGCACTCCAATTCGAAATCACATCTAGATCGTCATTAGGATATGCAATCTCTTGCTGCCGCTGAAGATGTGCCTCCGTAGCCGATGTCCTGGAATCCAGATGAAATGTCGAGACAAGGGTGCTATCGTCAGCAAAACAATATATTGGATTCTTGTTTATTCCAATAAGTCGTTGATATATAATAACAAGAGGGTTGGAGGCAATATGGATCCCTGAAGAATACCAGCGTTGATAGAATAGTTTGTTGTAAAACATATCAGTTGATTCTTCACTATTTAGGTTATGAAACAAATTATTCCAATCAATTTTAGATAACTCTGATTTTAGTAGTTCATAATCAACTTTACAAAAATAGTACAGGTTATGTTTGTTGTTATTATAGGTTAATAAGTATTTATGTATATTGACAGAGAATTTCAATTATGATTTTTGTCTTCTGGAGTCAAGGGAGAGGTGCTCAAGTGCACATTTTGTATACTGAATGTGTTATTGAGTATCAGATCAATTGTGTTTTCCAGAAGAATTAGTGAAGTAATTGTATTGCGATAGCTTGTTGAAAGAGAGTGTCTATAAATAAGCTCGGAAACTGATGAAAAAGTTATGAGGTTACGGTCCAGCAACCATTTTATATTTGGAGAATTGAAGTCCTCGCAGATCACAAAATTGTCATCTTCAGCATCCGAGTTCCAGGAATCTTGAGCGTAGCTGTTCTGTTGACGGCTATCAGGACTCCACCGCCGGTAGATTTGTTTCACGATTCGACCAGTCATTTTTTCCAGCGAAGACGCTCCCGTTTCACACCTAAACATATTTATAATTTTTGGATTCGAATATATATTAAGCTTTTTTAAGAATGATTTCAGATGTTCATTTACAAAGAGGCTTCTAGATATGTTATCAATGACGAGACCCGGTTGACTCTTGTCAAGGCAGCTCAGTCTTTTTGTCTTGGCCGCTGCTAAGATTTCATCCTGCTTCACCTTGGATTGGAATTTAACGATGATGGATTTGGGTTTCTCAGATTGAGTAGAGGAAGCTACCTTAACGGTTGTGTTGGCATCGGGGAACGAAATCGCACACTGGATGTGTTGTCCAATATGATCTAGTATTCAAAGAATTTTTTTTATTTGATTTCTCAGGCACACCCTGTATTTCAATATTACTAAGGCGTGCTTGGTGTTCAATATTCTAGAGTCTGGTCGTCAATTGTCCAACCATCACCTTCAGATCTGCATTCTCCTTCGACAACTTCTCTAATAGCAATATCTGTTACTACAAAAATTTACTGATTCTGAAATGTTATCGTATTTAGTATTGAATGTCTTCATCTCTGATTGAATTTGTTTAAGAATGTTCATCGAACTGATAGAACTTTCATCTTCTGGTTCCTTTTCGGTAGCTAACAGAGAAGTCCGTTTCTGTGCCTGCAGTCAGCACAGTTCCGCAGAGCGCCAGGCATAATGAGTTGTCCAACGTCCTCTTTACTCAGGTCGACACATTTTCCGTGGAAGTACTTTTCGCAAGAACCACAGCATGGCAAACCTGGGGTCTTGNGTGTACGAAACTGTTATTTCCAACTGAAGGACGAATTCTTTACACAAGATGAGGGACTGCCAATGGGATCGCCACTTTCACCAGTCATAGCCAACATATATATGGAGTGGTTTGAAACTCTAGCCATTGAAGAAGCCCTCAAGAAACCTCGAGTATGGTTTCTTTACACAAGATGAGGGACTGCCAATGGGATCGCCACTTTAACCAGTCATAGCCAACATATATATGGAGTGGTTTGAAACTCTAGCCATTGAAGAAGCCCTCAAGAAACCTCGAGTATGGTTGAGACACCTTCATAATATGGAACCATAGGAATACTGAACTAGACGCCTTCCTGAAACACATCAACAGCATGAGACCTTCCATCACTTTCACAATGGAAAAGGAAATCCACAATGTTTTGCCATTCTTAGACGTTTTGGTGAAGAGTACCGACACTAAGTGGGAAACATCTGTATACCGAAAACCCACTCTCATGGGGCAGTATCTGAACCACGAATCCAACCACCATCAATCGACTAAAAGAAGAATCATCAAGACGGAATGGCTACTCCAAAGCGATGGTAGAAAAGACTTCATCTAAAAGACAGCAGGAGCCTCGCAAGGAAGAGAAGCCGTCACAACCAGTGCTTGCGCTTCCCTACATCAGAGGATTATCGGAGAGGATAAGAAGAATCGGTTCCAAGTACAACATCAGAACCTGCTTCAGATCCGATAACACTATCCGTAGAAACCTCACGAAAACCAGGCCACCAAACGCGGACTGCGATTCCAAGAATTGCAAGAATTACCGGATACCCTGTGAATGCGAAAAATCCTATATTGGTAAAACTAAGAGGCCATCGAATGTTCTCATTGTCGAGCACAGGGGAAACCAGCAAATTAGGAATAGCAGACCATATTTGGAATCATCAACTCAACATCTAGTGGTCCCAAGCTGAGATCATACACAGAGAGGAACATTGGTTAAGGAAAAAATTCAAGGAAGCCGCATACATGCTGTACAACAACGTATTTAGCCAAGCTAGCGTAGAGATACGCAACATATGGAAACCTATCATCAAGCGGATAATGGCCAACTCCCGCCAAACGGTCATCTCTCACTGAACCAATGAAGCGGAAAAAGTTGAAAGCGGGGGTAAGTGAAAGTACTCGAACGACCCATTAATAGTCATCTCTCGGAGGAATCAGTCCAGTCATCACCCGAAGACGATTGTAGATACTAACAATCGAAACGTCGTGAACTAACGTGGCTTGGAATCACTTAACTTTTTATTTTTATTTATAAAATCGGCCGATATTTTATTGGTAGCGGGTGCTTGCACACTTACCGGATTTTTATCGGTCAAACAATCAGTTGCTTTGTTGTCGTAATTAGCATGCACTACCAAAACGAAGTTAATGCGTAGTAACTACAATTTTACCGAGCATTCGAGACTCGAATGGTCGGTAAAAAACCGGTGAGTATGCAAGAGTGTATTCAGTCATGTACGCCACTACTTCCCGGTACTGCCGGCGATACATTGGCAGTGGACGGCTGCTCACCGGTATTTTACAGGCGACGATCACCGGTCGGCGTGTGTGCTAGGACCCGTTCCCACATGTGGTTCACTATTGGAATTTGGACGACCAGTACAAAGTCGGCCGTCCTAAATCGGTGTGTGTGCAACTAGCGTAACGCTAAATGCACACACACCGATTTTGGACGGCCGATTTTATACCGGTCGTCCAAATTCCAATAGTGAACCACATGTGGATACGGGAACTGGCGCACATGCCAACCGGTGATCGGCGTCGATCACCGGTAGGCATGTGTGCCAATTTTTTGGGAATCTATCAAAAAACTAAAATAATCATATCAAAACTAATGAACTACGATTTTGCCATATTAGGAGCGGTCTTCCTCAAGGCAATGCTGCCACCCTCTTATTTCCTCAATAATTTTTTATTTCTTGGATTCTTCACCAGTCATTTAGTTCTCGGGAGACCAGATTATTAGTTTCACAAACACGGCCCACTTTACCTGGTTATACGAACCACCCCTGCTTGGATACTGGCGAAACCTCTCGCATCCCATTTAATAACACAATTCCCAAGGAACTTATACATTCTCCAAACTTTTTCTCCAATCCAAATCTTACGCCTATTTATCAGATAACAACTATTGTACTATTCCAACCGGTACGCAGGGGGGAATATGTACCGTTGATTTGGGTACATATTCCCCACAAAATGTTTTTCAGTATGTATAAAGGTCAAATACAATAGGTACTCTTCTCTAGTCTTCTTAACTTGTTTAATTGTGAAATATTTTGTCTGTTTCAGGTATGGTGGTGTCATCGCTACCTCAGGTGCGTTTTGAGCATTTCGTCATATTTGCCATAGCTCTGTTATCTCTCTTCCTGTGTATCTCATACCTCAACTTCAATCAGCTTGACCTAACGGCCAGTAGTGCCAGTCTATTCGAGAAGCAACATCAGACCACTTCACACGTTCATAAAACTTCGGAAGTGTCTACTCTCCCATTCTCCCCCAACACCGTGAACAGTACTTCCAAAAGTAGCAATTGGCAGGAAATAGATCTGAATGGTGGAATAACAACTGACGTAATCTATGAAGCCGGTTACATAGACCTAAATTCTCAAATATGTCCCAATTCAGGCAAAAATCTGAAGCTACTGATTGCCGTAACCTCAGCCCCCAGTCACGACAGTGCCCGAGTAGCAGTGAGAGAAACGTGGGGCCATTTCGCTTTAAGAAAAGACATAGCCATAGCTTTCTTATTAGGCGCCACATCGGATCAAACGCTTAATGGCAAAATAGAACAGGAACAAGAAATTTTCGGTGACATTATCAGAGGAAATTTCATCGACACTTACGACAATCTCACACTCAAAACTATATCAATGTTGGAATGGGTGAACAATTTTTGTTCGGAAGCTCAATTCGTACTCAAAACAGATGACGACATGTTTATCAATGTGTCACGTCTTCTTGCCTTCATCGCAAAACATAAACCTGAACGAAGAGCAATTTATGGTCGATTGGTCAGTAAATGGGAGCCTGTTAGGGACAAACATTCTAGGTATTATATATCTCCGCAGCAATATGAGCCGTCAATATTTCCAAATTTCACTACTGGCCCTGCTTATTTATTCCCAGCACAAATGTCCGAAGAACTTCACAAAGCATCGTTGAATTATACATATGTCAAATTGGAGGACGTGTTTGTGACAGGCATTGTTGCGAATGATTTGAAAATCGAAAGAGTAAATGCTCCAGAATTTCTTAATACACAGATATCATTTGAACCTTGTGTTATCCAGAAGAAAATTAGTATACACAACGTTAATAGTGACCAACAGTATGACTTATGGAAAAAACTGCATGATGTTACCAATTGTGAAAAATGAGCGTGGTCGTTTCGATATTCGAAACCAGTACGAACTTACGAATAATTTTTATTCAGTCGCTTCATCCAATAATCAATATCTCATGTATAAGTTTATTTATAGACGTGATATGACAAAATTCCCAATTTATTTTGGAAACAAATATAACACATCAAATTTCAATTGTTGATTTACGGGACACTCGAAGTAGTCCCTATTCAGGCAGACTGTGACGTCATCACACCAGTCAAGTTGCCTCTCAGTTCGCCACACGAAGCAGAGAGATCACCCAGTCAACCGAAGCACACCAAATTATCACGTGGTGTCCTGTCACCCAGCGGTGAACCAATCGGAGTGTACCAAATTGTTACGTAGCGTACTCAAATATTTTCAGATATGAATATATATTTCTGAAACGACATTTATTTGATTTGCTCAGAGAATTCTCATTGACAGTTGTTTTACTTCACTTTATCGAAAATATTTACTGTTCACTAAAAGGATGTTATATCATTTAGTATCAACGGCATGTTTTCGTTGAATGGGCTGGAGCAGTTGGCAACTTTTCTTATGAAACTTGGCAACACTTGGCTGATGTTAGGCGATATCATACAATTGAGCCAAATATATCAAGAAATACATTCTAAACGTATATACGCAAAAAATAACTTTAAATACAATATTTCACAATTATCATTTTCCTGAGTATAAAAATTCGTATCAACGTCGGTACGGCACGTCACGCTGATTTAATGATTATCTCTGTTAGTAAACCTCACTTAAAGGTCTTCCAGGAAATTTCATGGCGCGGTACTCACCGTAGATTGGAAAATATGAACTTTTCATTTTCCCGAGTATAAAAGTTCGTATCAATGTCGGTACGGCACGTCATGCTGATTTAATGATTCACTCTGTTAGTATAAAAGGTGTTCCACAAAATTTCACGGGGTACTTGCCGTAATTTGGAAAATACGAAGTTTTGTCAGAGAATAGGAACTGCTCATCTTCAAAGAAATAATGATTTGAATCAAAATCGATACTGTTGATACGCTTCCCATGCCTAGTCAATATAGTTATGAAAAATTAATAGTGAAATATTGTATTTGAAGTTCTTTTCTGCGTATATACGTTCAGAAAGTATTTCTTGATATATCTGGCTCAATTGTATGATTTCGCCCAATTAAACCTCAGCCTTAGATGCATGAGAAACTGGGAAACAATGCTTATTTCTCCTCTATCCCAGCATCGATAACCAACACGTCAGAAACTGTAGATGGAATGACGTGACTAACTTCACACTAATGTTTACGTGAAAAAACAAAATTGTCGAATTTGGAACGTTACCAATCCACATGAGATCCAAAAACGCCCAATAGCAGGGGAGCCCACGATGTAAAATGGGGATTTACTCGAGCGTCATTGAGACATATTAGATTGCAAAGCTTAGATGATAAGAAGAAAAAAATGTTATATAATAATTACCTTTTCATCGGTGGGGGAAGCGGCTATAGATTTTTAAATATGTAAAAAAATACTGTTGCATGGACATACTCAAGTGCATCAGATATTGATAGCATCAATGTCCTACGTATTTTTAATATTGTTGTTATGTTAATCTGATCGTTTGCATGATGTGGGTGGTTGTACGTAAGGGTTAAAAGTGAAAAGAAAATAAATTTAATAGAGCGCGTCAGATTTTCTAAGTGGGTGTTAAGTGCAATAAAAAAAAGCTCTCATTCAATAATCTGACGCATCGATCTGACGCTAACTCACGGCCATTATTATAATGTGCAAAAAAAATCGACATTTTGAAATACTCAAGCGCGTCAGATCAAGATATATATGGTTCATCTTTATGTTTTAGATGTGCTGTCTCATAATCTGACGATTATCTAGAAGGATTCGCTTAATCTGACAAAAACAATATTTTTTTCATTTTTTTTTTAATTCATTGAACTNTGCTCAATATAATTGTTATTTTTTCAGCTATTTGTTTTTTTAAATATTTTTTCAGGGATTTCAAATTATTTTTTACATTAGACAATGGAAGTCCGAACTAGTGAAATTTATGTAGTAACTACAATTTCAGCGAGCAGTCGAAACTGGAATGGTCGGTAAAAAACGGGTGAGTATGCAAGAGTGTATTTAGTCACGTACGCCACTACTTCCCGATACTGCCGGCGATACAGTGACAGTGGACGGCTGCTCACCGGTATTTTACCGGCAACGATCACCGGTCGGCATGTGTGCCAGGTCCCGTTCCCACATGTGGTTCACTATTGGAATTTGGACGACCGGTATAAAATCGGCCGTCCAAAATCGTGTGTGTGCAACTGGATAATGGCGTTGAATAATTTTCAAATTGATTCCAACAAGTAGAGTAGGTATCGTCAGGGAAATAGGTATCGTCGCAAACGAAGTAGTAATCAGAACCTTCGATTGAACATTCGTGGGTTGTCGCCTGCTCGATAGGGATTGGAAGTGACGAGAGTTGAGAATACGCTGAAAATATTTCAGCTTCGAAATTGAAATCGATCTGTTCCCTTGAAATTCACTAAGATCTGAAAAACTAGTCGGATACCTATTGTTCCCCAATGACGTGTGCTGAGACATCACAAAGGTATGGAGCACAGGAAAGTGCGCCACGTGACTGGGTGGTCTGTCTCGCCACAATGTTCTGAGATACAGAAGCGTGTGCATTGATTAGCTGGCAAGGTGCGTGATAATAGGCCTTTTCGTCACAATTTTTTTGTGCGCATGCGTCAGTATCAGCCATCTTTTTCGTACTGTTTTTTGTAAACAACCATGTTGAAGAGCCCATAACTCATGTTTTAAAAATTAAAATATGAACTGAAGTTTATTAATTGTGAAAAAAGTTAAAAAAAAGTAGTATGTCAAAATAATCAGAAAAATTTTTTTATACTCCATTATAATTATGTTATCTGTTCGAAAAGGAACAATAAAACGGTGTTGTTATGGAGTATTCAAAAGTGATACACGATACAAATCATTCAAAACCAACACATAGGTACTATTTCATAAATTTTCCAAAGGCTTGTCTTGGATATCGCAAAAAAATAATCAAATTATCAAGCAAATTACATATTAAAGCATGTGCCAAATGTGCGAAATGTGAATTATAGGTGAAAAATTGTGGCAGGAGTGACCGAGGCTTCAAATCTATTGATGATGTTACCAAGGATACTTATATTTCCTTACTACATTTTATTGGAGAAAGTGGTCCAACTGAACAAAACCCTGATCCTTTGAGCTATCAGGAATTTCAACATACGTACATTATTCCTTATTGCAGTTTTGACTGTAAATTTCATAAATTTCATATATATTATGTTGTATTGAATATTTCCCTCTAATGAAAATGACTAAATATATTCAATTCACTATTTATATATTTGTCTAATTAATAATGTCATATGTACAGCCTCAAAATATT